ATGCAACTAAACGTCACAATTAATAGTTTTGCTGTTACAGGATTGTTTAATTAAACAAATGTAAAACAGGCCCGTAATATTAATTATAACTCTTATATAAATATATAAAATAAATAAAAACAGGCTGCAGCTAACAATTACTTTCACTAACAATTTATCTGCTGATTATTTTACCATTATGCGCCACAGAATCTTTAAAAATGAGTCAAACAATTAAGCTGTTGTTGTAAGTTCTGATTATTTTTCTTCCAGTATACGAGTCAAAGTATTAGCTCCTAGAAACCTCAACATTTTGATTTCTTATGTGGATTTATGGTTTTTCTATCTTGTATTGTACATGTATGTTACATCGGTTTTTCTCCAAACAGAAAAATAATGCTATCAGCAGCTTTGATCTAAAAATAGCACTTTTGACACACTCCCTTATAAATGCACAAGTAAGCACTATAACTGGAGTGTGAGCATTTTTTTTTTGGTCATGGAAACATGCGTGCAACATGCCCACAAACACACGCGCAAACACAAGCAGGCTGCTGCGCATGCCCTAACATCTAAACGCTCCATCACACCGTCATGGCTGCATCTCCCAAGTCGTTTATTATGTATTTAATTAGCAGATGAAGATGAAGATGGCTCGGAGGCTTTTAATCAGACCTCGTTAGACTGTGTCTCTACGAGTTAACCAGTGTGTCAGCACTTCATTAGCTGCTTAAGGAGAACAGCGTGAACTTTGGGGCTGAGGAAGGATCAGCAGGGCGAACGCTGGCAGTGACCCTGGCAGTTATGTCTTCTCTGTCCAAGTGCAGCATTTAGTACAGCCGTGGCCAATCCAGACACATGTTTACCTCTGTATCACATCCAATTAAAGCAATCGGATAAACATGCCTACTAGTGGGCAATCACACCGAATAAGGGAGAAGATGTGCAGCGCCAACTGCTGCAGGAAATTACATTTCCAGGCAGGTAAATATTTTAACATGAAAGCCCTGAGTCATTTAAAAATGTATCAAATAATCATTTAATCCAGTGTGATTTGGGGATATGTTGGCAGCAAAGATTCTGCGGTCACCTTAATGCATCAGTGCGCTTTAATGGCAGGAAGCTTGTGAACAAAAACACTCAAACAAATCTACCTCTCTCTTATTATCATGAATTTTCCATTACCTCTTAATTGATAGTTTAACATGGCTGCGGGTTTTCCTGCACTCATATGTCTTACTACAGAGCAAGACATGAGCTCGAACCAAACCCCGGGTTTTTACACAAACCCCGAGGCAACCTGCAGAGAATATACCTATTACTGCTTGAACAGGGAGTGAAATTCACAGCCTTATTCCTGGCAGACAATGCCCGAAAGCTAGCTGTTATTCCCACAGTGGAAATGTGTCAGCTTTTAATGGGATTGTCAATAGAAATGCCTTTCCCGCAGGATCTGAGGAAGACTGACATTGTTGTTCTGAATGTTACACTCCAAACAGCGGGGTTTCACACATTAACATACCAATCTTATCACTGCCGCAACACTAACACACCGACACCTCGCGTGTGCATCTACACACCTACCCACACTTGTTTTTGCTACATCTCAGACCTTTCCCCCTCACTTACATCTGCTCACCGGCCTTAATGAAACAACGTGACGCATTACAAGTGACTACAGAAAGGCATAAGTTAACGTGTGACTTTATAAATGTGGGGAGAAAAAAAGGGCACACGAATCGTTTTCGTCACTGCCCGCCGTCTCCTACCAGCTCCCATGCTAATTCTCTGTAACTTCAGCTATAACACAGCCTGGTGTTATTATGTGTTGACAGGGTTGCTGTTTAAAGTGGCTCTCCATATATAATTCATGACCGAAACGGCCTCTCGCTCCCTTTCTTTTCTGACCATCAGCACTTTTGCCCATCGCAGTGCTTCTACATGTCAAAGCAGGCAGAAATGGGGGCTGCCAGCTGAGCAGCCGACTCACTCCTTCCCACAACCCGCCAGCACCTCGACTTACATTCACATTCATGTACACACTCAGCCCGCACAGCATGGCAGCCAACAGTTACATACTTAGACCCAGCAGACCCGCGCTCTCCAGCCGAGAGCATTCGACTGAGCGTCGTCAAAGGAGTAAAAAAGGAAAGTAAGTACAGCAGTCTGTGCCGCACAGTATCTAAAGACACAGATGCCACTTTCTCATTTTAAAAACCTTGATATTTCAGTTTATTATCATAAACAAATGAGAGCACAGCTGAGACAACAACTCTCACATCTCCTGCTG